AAAAAAAGAGATCTAAGTGTATAAGTTGAAATTTTATAAGAAATTATTGAACATTAAAAAAATGATACCTACCTAGATATGTATGCATATACATATGTGCCTACCTAGTAGACAAAACTGGTCAAAATAGCACGCATCTATTCTTCTGTGCATGAGAATATATACATAAATAAACACATACATATTTGTATATATGTATGTATATACATATCTGCATGTATGCGTACTCCTTTACTCGAAATTCTTAGTTAATGCAATTTTTATCCCACACATTTTTGCTGTCCAACCAACCCGTTTGCCTTTCTAATCTGCATGCCTCATTTGCCTCGCTCGTTTGCTCGCCTCATTAGTCTCGCTCGTCTGCTGCTGGAAATGAGTGCCTCGCTCGCAACGACGCTCTCGCGAGGGCAGAGCTAACGAGGCCCTCATTTGCTTGTCGCTCTACTCTTGCGCTGCACTCGTTTGCTTACTCGCTCGTTGGCTGCTAAGCGCGTGCGCTCATACTTAACAAGAGCTCGTTTGCAAACAGCCTCGCTTGTTGCTCGTGAGTTGCCGAGCTCAGAGCAAACTAACGAGCGAGCGAGGAGCTAAAATGAGACAAATCCGAACCCTGTCTACAATCGCCTGATGAATCGTCTGCAGCTCTCCAGTTCCTGTATAGCGAAGGGCAATGATGCCGTGCAATAAAACCATAGGAAATAACGCCATATGGCTTTATTGCACTTTACATTGAGAAATAAAGCCATATTTTTGCGTATTGTCTTATTTCTTACTGTGAAACAGTGATCGGACTTCTACCAAATTGTGGTAGATCTGCCACTTTTTTGAGCATCTACCACTCAAGGTCTGAAATCTACCACATATTCGCGTTTTTGAGTAGTTTTATTTTTGCTTGACATAAGTAAACAAATCCGAATGAGAGGATAAAATAAATTGTAAAATAGTAAATTGTCTCAGTAATCAATTTTTCGACGGAAAACGCGGTTTTATTGTTTTAAATTGCAAACTATGTGATTTATAAAAATAATTACTTAATTAATTGTACTACAGACATATGGCCTTATTCATAAAAAATAAAGTAGCTTTAAAAAAGGTTTATAAACTGAAAAATGTATGAAAACGTCATTTTATAAAGCTCTTTAAACCTACTTTATTTTTTATGAATAAGGCCAATAGAGTCTATCCGACAAACTGCGGCAGAAAGAATTACAACGCAACGAGAAAAAGCAAAACAACGATTTGGTCGTCAGCATTCTAAGCCGAAAATATATAGGAAGGATGATATTGTATTAGCTGAAAGCGAAGTGAGTAGTACTGGTGAACCACGTAAATTAGAGCCACGCTTCAAGGGGCCTTTTGTCGTTGCCAAAGTTCTCGGTAACGACCGCTATGTAATTGAAGACCTTCCTGGTTCTCGACGTTCACAAAAACGCTACTCTACCGTATTTTCGTCCGAAAAGCTAAAACCATTTAATTATACATTTCCTGACAACGATAACGGCAGTCTGGTAAGCTCAGGCGACGACGAGATCGGGGCCGATCAGAGATGCAGGATAGCCGAGTTGTTACGACATGGCAATCTCGACCGTACGACGGGGACAAAAGAAGAAGCGAAGAATTAGGTAGTCGGTTAGTTGAGCTATGGTGACGCGCACGCATTATTTAAATTCGAATTCTTACTAAATACATTTACTTTAGTTCAATTAAATATATACATTAAATGAATTCTATACTATTAAAACATCGGTGAAGTGTTTTCGTTTTCTTTACACAAGATAGAATCAATTCAAAAACAATTCCTAATTTTAATTTTGCTTTAAGAAATTTCCGTTGGGATTCTCAATAAAAGCCGATTAAAACTTATTAATCTTCCTACACTTGCCAGGCGCAGGCAAAGGCTTGGTACAATTTTTATGGTTAAATTCCTGACAGGCTCAATTTCAAGTCCGCTTCTTCTGGGTGAAGTTAGCCTTAATGTTTCCTCCCGTGTATCAAGTCACTCTTATCCCCTATTTTTGAAAACTTGTAAAACTAATTTTGAATTACACGAGCCACTCCGATGCTTATGCCAGGATTTTAACTCTCATTCCAGCACATTTGCTATATCTGATTCGCTTTTCAGCATTGAGAAAGCGATGCTATCCTCTTTCAATAAATGAGTCATTAACATACATAAAATCAGCTGATGAATTTAGTTCTGTAGCTGAACAGTTTTAGATCTCGACACTTAACAAACTCCTTACTATTTCAAGTTTAACAGGCAACACTGTCGATATTTCCATCGATTGTCTCGTGGAAATTCATTTTCTTATTGCGCGAATTCAAGTAAGTATGCCAAAAAAATCAAAAATAATATTCTTCATATTTTCAATTAAAACAATAATTAACATATTTCTTTGCAGAGTATGGGAGTTATTCATAATTTGTATTCAAAAAGTACCGTTTTACAACAAGTGCAACTGTTGCAAGTAAGTTTAGCGTGCTAGGATCCCTGTGTGCCCGGCCACTCGGAACTACTTTGGTCAAGTGCAGCCGTTACATGCTTATAAGCAGTGCACGGACTTCGTAAAAATTAATATTGGTAGATTTTACATACAAAAATTGGTAGAAGTTGGTACATTTTTTTAAAAGAAACATTATTATATAGTTTCTACTCATTTAGGATAAATGCAAGCTAATGCAGGTAAGATGGTGTTATCAAAGCAGCTGAATTTTCGCCTTGGGGATTTTTAATGTCAAAATGATGTATTTGTTGTAATTCTTATTGTCATTACGGGTAAAATTTGTTAGTGGAATTTTTGTTTTTGAACTTTTGCTGT